CCTGTGGCTGTGTGTATCTGCACAAGAAGTGGAAACTAGAGCTTGTCCATGTAAATGGAAGTGAAACTGTACAAAGTAATCAAAAGCAGTGAAACTCAAGGAATTGTGATTTTGTTGACTGTTTCAACTTGGAACAACTCAGTGAAGTTGCTGATTATCTCTTCTAATAGCTCATCGAGTATTATTTCACTTATTTCAGAACCGATGCAACCGATATCAAAGCGAAGGTCCATCCAGCTTCTGGTCCTAGCCAAGTCTTTCTGGACTATTTGGTCTAATGTATGAGGAGAAGGTAAAGGTAAGAGATGCCAATAAACCTCCTCTTGCACCACTTGAGTAACATTTTCCATATCTGAAAAAAACCGGTATGCGGGTTTGACGAATGAAATCCAAGGACCATGACCACAAAACTCCATAAGAACTTCATTGATACAGTCAAAAAGAAGTTTCTTATCGCTGCAGAGGTTTGTAGGACAGAAATCAATGTCATCCATTAGTGCCTGCTCAAGAATCTGCTTCGAGTAAAAAGACCTCGCTAAAATCTCTTCCCAGTTCAAATCTGAGTATTTCACCACTGCTTGAATGTATGCAAGTGCCACTTCTTTGTCATCAATTCTAGTTTTGACAACTGGTCTTGGAGAATCAGGTTCTTCGAATCTTATGCAGAGTGGTTGCAACCGCATTTCGACTAATCAAGTCAATGAAAAAAGATGAGAAACTGAGCTTTGAAACAATAAGTATGACCAGAAAACACACAACTTCATACCTGAAGAGAATTTGGAGCTATTTGGACTAAGCTCATCATCTGTAAAGAGAGGCTCAAGAACAGATACAGGACTTGACTTCCCTGGAACATCAGTAGCATTGTCTTGGCAATCAGACATTCTTACTGAAGAACTTGGTGGAGAACACGGTGAATGCCTCTCGTCGAATGTTTCCTGAGACTGCGATAAGGCGGGATATATAAGCATTCCTTGAAGAAAATGTATAATGTAACACAAGGATTCAAACCTTTTCCAAGTGTTGTTTGTGCTCAACTTCATCATGAGTTACAAAGTTATCTTCAGACAATGAATCTAGGACAGTCTTCTCTTCCTTCTCAGTGTCTGATTACACAGTAAAAGCAATTAGTTTCATTTTATCAAATTCAAAAACAAGAAGAAAAACAAAAGAATCACCTATAGGAACTGGCATATCACTGGTAGACGCTGTTTCTTCATTTGAATCCAATCCAAGTGTCTCAGAGTAATCTTGAATCTTTGGTTTGTCGGTTATCTGATAACCGACAAATTCTTGTGCCAATGTCATTCTTGGACTGCTTTCTGGTGTAGAGAACTCAGGGAGAGCAAGAATCTTCCCGAGGATTCTCGGTACTTCTTTATCCGGTGAATCAACATCTATGTCTCCTTCTGCTAGCATTTCAGACAAGTGTTTCTTGGCTGCAGTGTATATACCACACATACTCTTCTTCTGATCTTTGCTTCCATGGATAGTGTCCTCTTTATTAGCCTCGCTACTTGAAGCAATCTCCGGCAAGATTTCTCCATCCGAAACACGCCTCCCGGGATTAGTCTCTATTTCTTCTCCAAAACAACAGTTTTGATTCATGTTAGAAGACAATGTATCTGGATCTTGATCAGAATCTTGTTGAGCATTGCAAGGGGTTTTTCCAACACCAAAGTTTAGTCTTCTTCTGATTCTACTTAGAAGAAACCGAGAACCGAATCTTCCGTATTTGGCCTTGTTTTCTGTAGAATCAAGTCCAGGTGATGAACCAACGTCTAAGCTGTTTGGTTCAGGCTTCAAAACTACAATTGTTTGTGTACATTGTGAGTTTGTTGCCTCTTGAATTCTCTGAGAATCTCCCGTAATTGGCGCATCGATATTCTCTTCTTTAGAATCCAAGACTTGAAATGTATCCACCAGGTTCTTCTTGCAGCTCACTATCTCGCTCTCCTTTTGAGCTATTAACCGCTTTATCAACTCGCTGAACTTCTCTTCGGAATCATCAGACATCGAATCATCTTCGCTTTGACAACTTCTCCTTCGGTTTTTCGCCTTTGTGCCTCCTCTGCATTCAGAATCACATTTTTGCTGTGTTTCTTCTTCAATGAGTTTCTTAACACTCTTCCTTCCAGCTTCACTCTCCTGATACAACAACAACAATCTACATCAGTTTTGATTCCTCAAAGACCATTACACAACAAAATCTTGAGTCTTAAATCCAACCAAAACTTACCTCATAGTAACATTCACGTGTAAGTTGCTTCTCGACCTTATTCTCAAACATTCCAATGTTACCTGCATTGATTGTTTCATTAACCAAAAAAAGTGAGAATCTTTCTGTTTAAGACACAAATTTATAATGATATGTATGAAACAAAACCTATGATTCATTTGCTCCACGTTTTTTATCCATCAAAAGCTTTTGGTTAGATCCACCATGCTTGAAATCAAACANGTTCATAAACACCCAAACACATCCAATCCCTTCTCTTGAAAAATGTCTACTACAAATATCTTTCTCCATTAAAACAACCACAA